CACAACTAGGTGACTACAACTAGGTGAATACACATTCTATCCAACACACGAACTCAAATTCACACACACACACACACACGTACCCAAGCGTAACACTCTCCAACACACTTAAAAACACATGCTCAAACACACACACACACTCATGCACAAATACGGGGTTCAAATTCAGTAATCCCACCAATTATCAAGACTCCCATAAGGAGCCAAGCGACCCCACAACCCGGATATCAGTGGCGAATCCCGGAATTAACACAATTGTTCCTCTATTATGCAACACGGATGCAGCAACCGTGACTCTCCATTATGCAACACGGATTTCTCAATGAGGACAAACCATAACCCAGCAAAATCTTTGTAAATATCCAGTGTTAACATGGATACTGACAACACACACATCCCAGGATTGTGTGTGTTAGTTTTAAGATTTGCTCGAAGCGCTGTGGATTAGTATTTTAACAAATAATATAACTGTAATATACATATAAACGAACATTATCCACTGAATATTTTTGTATTAAATTATGTTTGTATTATTATTATTGTGATTAGACAAAGCCTTGAAACACTCCGTTACTGAAGCCGGAATATCAACCTCCCGTTCTTCACTGTGTGACCCGTATATGTTACCTGTAAAGCTCTACTACACAACCCGGAATAAAGAAACAGAGGTAAGGAAAATGGCGGCACAGGAAGCGAAATGTAAACAGTCTTATGGAGATGACGCAGGTACAGGGTCCCGGGTTCAATTCCCACGGCAGGACGAAGTCGTTTGGGCAACGTTTCCTTTCACCTGATACCGCTGTTCACCTACCAGTAAATAGGAGTGTTGTTGTGCCAGCTTATATTAAAGACAATGTTGAACATAATATTGGACTATCAAATGTAATTATGAAATGTCATTAGACGAGATCATTTAGTTGAATTAAATAAAAACAGAATGCAAAGCGATTCATTGTTTATCACAATGTAACGTGCCAAACTGTTCACTTGTACGGGGGCGTGAAACAAACATTAATAGACTGACAGTTTTAATTAATTTCTTTTGTTGGAAACATGAAGTTGTATGTATGTACGTAAGTATATATGTGTATATCTACATTACACACACACACAAGCACACAAACACACCCACACACACACTGACCAAAGAGCCAAAGCTCAACCCCCGCAAGCACAACTAAGTAAGTGCAGTTGTCTTAAAGCAAAGACAAAGAGTACTGGGAAGACGGGACACCACGAGCGTAGCTCTCATCCTATAACTACACTTAGATAATTACCCACACACTAGATAATTACACCTCTAAATAACTTAATTTTCACACAGAATAAAATGCCCCTAAACACACGCTGCATTAAATAGCAGATCATTTGATTAATAATGAGAAAATATCTCAAATTCTAGCACTGTAGCCACAAATTACATCTACTAGAAGTAGACAAATATATATGCGTAAAGTTTAAGCTGTGTACACTAATGTCTCTCACATCAACTCCTCTATTAGCCTGTAATGTCCAGCGCTGAATCTCGTTTTAAATGAGAAACTCCGTAGAAGTTGTGATGAGGAATGTTCTCATTGACCACAATCACGTTAGTGTCATTAATCTCTCTGTATTATTTTAAATATTAACAAAAATGACTTGCCAGCGATGTATATTGCAATTATTGAGAGGTGGTTTGCCAGGTGTGTGGTACTAGCTGTCATTAAACTACCAGGTGTGTAGTACTACCTGTCATTAAACCACCAGGTGTGTAGTATTACCTGTCATTATCTACCAGGTGTGTAGTACTACCTGTCATTAAACTACCAGGTGTGTAGTACTAGCTGTCATTAAACTACCAGGTGTGTAGTACTACCTGTCATTAAACTACCAGGTGTGTAGTACTAGCTGTCATTAAACCACCAGGTGTGTAGTACTACCTGTCATTAAACCACCAGGTGTGTAGTACTACCTGTCATTAAACCACCATGTGTGTGTAGTACTACCTGTCATTAAACTACTAGGTGTGTAGTACTACCTGTCATTAAACTACCAGGTGTGTAGTACTACCTGTCATTAAACTACCAGGTGTGTAGTACTACCTGTCATTAAACCACCAGGTGTGTGGTACTACCTGTCATTAAACCACCAGGTGTGTAGTACTACCTGTCATTAAACCACCAGGTGTGTGGTACTACCTGTCATTAAACCACCAGGTGTGTAGTACTACCTGTCATTAACTACCAGGTGTGTGGACACATTGTTACAGCTGATGTCATATGCCCTCATATTGTTGTTCTGGATTCAGCTACTTGGAACAAAAAGTTCCAAGTAGCCCGGGCTATGGTAACCTGGGACAAGATTGGGGCTGAGATCTGATCAAGACGTTCAAACTCAAAAGGGGTCAAACTCCTTGACTAGTTAGCAGGGCGCAAGTGTTAAACAACTGACGATAAACAGGAGAAAAGGAGAAGAGAAGAAGAGAAGGCCCAAGAAGAGAAGAGAAGACGGTTAAGTGTCACCTGAGAACCATTACGAGTGCCTGGCTCCTAGCCCCAGGTCACCTGGCCAGGTAGAATAAGAGAGAATGCAAGATAGAAAGAAGAAAGAGCGTATAAAAGGACATAAGAAAGAAAAGAATCACCATTAAAATGATACACTATGTTTGAGGCCTATTGGCCCTATGAAGCAGCGAATTTGATTACATTCTAACTGGCTTTCTCCCTAACCACAGCCCGACACCTGACTCCCAAGTGTTCAGTAACTAGCAAAGTTGTACTGGATCTCAACTGAGTAACTGAGTAATCTCGTTACTCAACAACCCTTCATAGTTTGCTGGTGGTGGAAACTGTTCAGTACTACAGCTCACAAGGAGGCTCTGTTCTCTCTCTCTCTCTCTCTCTCTCTCTCTCTCTCTCTCTCTCTCTCTCTCTCTCTCTCTCTCTCTCTCTCTCTCTCTCTCTCTCTCTCTCTCTCTCTCTCTCTCTCTCTCTCTCAAGTAAAGGAGTCATCAGGACAAGTAGAGCAATATTGGAAAATTTCCTGAGAGGCTCTATTATCCCAGCTCTAGAGCCATTGTTGCCCTGTGATGGGGTCTGATTGCCTTGCTTCCGCTATCAAGTAGCTTTCCTGTGTGTGTACTCACTTAGTTGTGCTTGTGGGGGAGGAGCTGTGGCTCTTTGGTCCCGTGTGTGTGTGTGTGGGGTTTGTGTGTGTGTGTGTGTGTGTGTGTGTGTGTGTGTGTGTGTGTGTGTGTGTGTGTGTGTGTGTGTGTTGCTGGGACCAGTTCTATTCCTAATATACGTGAACGACATGTCTACAGGAGTCGAGTCCTATATGTCGATGTTCGCGGATGATGCGAAGTTAATGAGAGTAATAATAATAGTATTAGTACATAATAATAATTACTACATAATAGTATTAGTACATAGTAATAATATAGTCCTCATCAGTTGTGACAGATGAGGACTGTAGGATGCGCCAAGAGGACTTGAAAAATGTGCAGAGATGGCTTGTCAGAGAAATGGCTACTGGAGATCAACACGAGCAAGTGTAAAGTTATGGAAATGGGACTAGGTAACAAGAGACCAATGAGTCAGTACACAATGAAGGGGAACAGCCTACCTGTGACGATTCGAGAAAGAGACCTGGGAGTGGACGTAACACCAAATCTAACTCCTGAAGCACATATAAATCAGATAACGACAGCAGCGAACTCTACGCTAGCAAAAGTTAGAACGTCATTCAGAAACCTAAGTGAGGAGGCATTCAGAGCGCTTTACACTGCCTACGTGAGACCAGTCTTAGAGTATGCAGCTCCATCATGGAGCCCCCACCTAAAGAAACACATTAGGAAACAGGAAAAGGTTCAACAATTTGTGACGAGGCTCGTCCCAGAGTTGCAGGGGATGGGATATGAAGAGCGACTGAAATAACTGAACCTGACGACGTTAGAAAATAGGAGGAAGCGAGGAGATATGATAGCAGCATACAAAATACTTAAGCCAATTGACAAAGTGGAAATAAACGAAATGTTTACACGGAATACAGAGAGAACGAGGGGACATGGGTGGAAGCTGGAAGCTCAGATGAGTCATAGAGATGTTAGGAAGTTTTTTTTAGCGTGAGAGTAGTGGGAAAATGGAATAAACTAAAGGACCACATTGTGGAAGCAAACACTATTCAAAGCTTTAAAACTAGTTATGATAGAGAAGCAGGACAAGAGTCATTGCTTTAAACACCCGAAGGGCCAGAAAGGCGGGATCCAAGAGCCACCGCTCGAGCCTGCAGGCACAAATAGGTGAGTCCATACACCCGGAGATCTCCATATTTCTTGTTTGCTTCCAAACCATCGATTTTCCGGTGATTAAGATAAGCTGCTCTCCCATGGTTCCTCTTCCCTCCTTCTCTCACGTCTGTCTGTCTCTCTACCTCTTTCCCCTCTCCCTCCCCCCCCTCCCCTCGTACCCCCACCCCCCCTGCCTCCGCCACCTCCAATCACCAGCCGTAACGAGACGTTTGGTGGGTGATGGATAGTTACAGCTTACCATTAACTGCAGGCGGTTAGAGGTTCTTCATGTTCAGTTGTTATTGTTCTCATTGTTCCCGCTTGGTTATGATAGGAATCAGTGAGGACCAATGAGAGGCGTCGTGACAGATGACAGTGACAGATATCCAAGTGGTTGGACACCATTCCTTCCCCCCGTCCCATCCCAAATCCTTATCCTGACCCCTTCCCAGTGCTGTATAGTCGTAATGGCTTGGCGTTTTCCCCCGATAACTCCCACTCACCTGCATTGGTGAGTTGACTCACCTGTGAAGTGCATTGACTCACCTGTGAAGTGCGTTGACTAACCTGTGAAGTCCGTTGACTAACCTGGAAGTGCATTGACTCACCTGTGAAGTCCGTTGACTAACCTGCGAAGTGCATTGACTCACCTGGAATTGCATTGACTCACCTGTGAAATGCATTGACTCACCTGTAAAGTGCAATGACTAACCTGCGAAGTGCATTGACTCACCTGTGAAGTGCGTTGAATCCTATCCGCCTCCGACGCGTCGAAAGACAACTTGGTAACAAGTACTTTATTTTGAAACCGCTAACTTGACCAAAACTCTACCTGCCGGCGGTCACTGCATATCGACAAGAAATAATTAATTCGAACAACTGACTTTGTCTCAAAATGTCTCATTAACTGTTGAATGTTAGCGAGAAGCGACACCCTTTCCCGACGGCTGCTGGGGTCGCACTGACTGGCCCCGCCACCAACAGTGGAGACGATGCTCTCTGAGTGGCCCTCGGGGCCCCCACCACAACAAAACACAGCTGATTTACCTTGATTTACCTGAGGGCCACTAAGACTAGTGGCCTCGTCGAGGACAGCAAGCCGGCGGCTTGTCGAAGGTCCCCCCCATTTGCCTTGGTGTATTTTAAAACTAAGTTTTTGGCGTTTGTGGCTTCGGCGGGTAGGCGGTTCCATGGGTTTATAACCCATGTGTATATAGGGAGTCATATGTAGTACCATATGTACAGATACGTACATAGGTAGTCATATGTACTACCATATGTACAGATACGTACATAGGTAGTCACTGCTGGAAAGGTGAGGCCCACAAGCTAAAGTTCGATGCTGCAAGTGCAAATAAGTGACTATAAATATGTACCGCTTCAATTCCTAGTGCATTAGCCAAGACTTGAAATGGACGGTAGAGCGACGGTCTTATTGCAGGTCGGGGTTCAATCCCCGACCGTCCAAGTGGTTGGGTACCATTCCTTCTCTCCATCCTATTCCAAACACTTATCCTCTATATATCCCTTCAAAGTGCTATATAGTTCCAATAGTTTCATGCATTCTCCTGATAATTATCTTACCTTCCTAGTGCATTTGTTAACTACTCTGACACTTAGAAAGTTATTTTCTAAAGTCATCTGAAAACTCAATTTACACCTGTGTCCCTTTGTTCGTCTTTCACCCGTGCTAATCTGTTTCTTTTCATCTTCCCTATCAATTCCCCCCCTGAGGATTTTGTAGGTGGTAATCATGTCTCCCCCAACACATCTGTCTTCAGCTCCCGGACCTTAGTCCAGTGTTGGACAAGCTGCAGACTCCACGCTGGAGCGCAGTCGGTCCATGGTTCAATTCGATAGGACAAAAGCATTTGGGCAACATATTCTTTCACCTGATGTACCTGTTCACCACACAGTAAATAATTGGTGTTAGTCAACTGAGTAGTTTACAACAATCTTATCTTGAGGTTATCTTGAGATGATTTCGGGGCTTTTTTAGTGTCCCCGCGGCCCGGTCCTCGACCAGGCCTCCACCCCCAGGAAGCAGCCCGTGACAGCTGACTAACACCCAGGTACCTATTTTACTACTAGATAACAGGGGCATAGGGCGAAATAAACTCTGCCCATTGTTTCTCGCCGGCGCCTGGGATCGAACCCAGGACCACAGGATCACAAGTTGCTGTCCGCTCGGCTGACCGGCTCCCTTAGGAGCGGCTCCCTTAGGAGCGGCTCCCTCCCTTAGGAGTGAGGAAGGGGTTAGGGGGAAGGGCTGGTGGTCCTCCTCATTGGCAACATTAAATCACAGAAAACTTTCCCCTCAATCGAGTTGTTGTCTTGGAGGCGGGAGACTTCTTCATTAACTTGAAGTAATTGAAGTAATTCTCGAAAATAAAGTTTTGTAAGTGAGTCAGGTCTAGCAGCTTTGATCTCTTCATCAGTAGTGGCATGCATTAAGCCTCTCTGACGGCGCCTTCCACGTATCCATTAGCGAGTCCATTGTGCTCACAAGGACCTGCCTCTACTGAGGTTGTTGTCCACCAGCGTGCAGCCGGAGCTGTTTGTGCATATGAGGTCCCCAACGTCAAGAAATTGTCGTACTAAAGTGCCCTTATATCCTAACCTGCCAGAGGACCTAAAACAGAAAACGAGGCAGTATGTCAGTTTCGTGAGCCGCTGCTATTTTCTAGTACGATCATTTTTGGTCTTAGGTCGAGTATACGTCAAAATACGACGTTCCAGGACTTTACTCTTGGCTCTTACAACTCCCATGGTGCCAGGACTTCACTCTTGGCTCTTACATGGTGCCAGGCCTTGACTCTTGGCTCTTACATGGTGCCAGGACTTCACTCTTGGCTCTTACATGGTGCCAGGCCTTCACTCTTGGCTCTTACATGGTGCCAGGCCTTGACTCTTGGCTCTTACATGGTGCCAGGACTTCACTCTTGGCTCTTACATGGTGCCAGGCCTTGACTCTTGGCTCTTACATGGTGCCAGGACTTCACTCTTGGCTCTTACATGGTGCCAGGCCTTGACTCTTGGCTCTTACATGGTGCCAGGACTTCACTCTTGGCTCTTACATGGTGCCAAGACTTCACTCTTGGCTCTTACATGGTGCCAGGCCTTAATTGACTCTTGGCTCTTACATTGACTCTTGGCTCTTACATGGTGCCAGGACTTCACTCTTGGCTCTTACATGGTGCAAAGACTTCACTCTTGGCTCTTACATGGTGCCAGGCCTTCACTCTTGGCTCTTACATGGTGCCAAGACTTCACTCTTGGTATGTATATGATACATATAGGCCTTTATATACACAATATACATTTATAGGCCTATTTATTCATTCCGTTTCTCATACTCCTGGAAGTTTAAATGATAAGGCTCCGTAGCACAGTGGGCTGCGTCCTCGGAGACACGGGTTTAAGCTCTTGGAGAGGCAGAACCTGTTGGGCACGTTTCCTCTTACCTGATGCCTCTGTTCACCTAGCAGGAAATGTGAGTGTATAACAGTTTGACAACTGTTAATAATATATAATAATTCATTGTGTCAGGGGACAGGAAGCCAGAGTGTATTCATACACGTTAGGCTTATATTGAGGTCCAACCCCCCCCCCCAAGGTCAAATTACTGACCCCGTCCAGGATACAACCCCACAACAAGCTGACTAACTCCTGAGTACCTACTCACTGCTAGGTGAACAGATGCATTAGGTGAAAGGAAATATGCCCAACTATTTCTGTCCCGTCGGAGATTCGAACCTGAAATTCTTGATTGGGCTTCGAGAACGAACCCGATCCCGAACCCAAATCCGGTGTGGGGGAAAAAATATAATTAGTTAGTGATTAGTAACACTTGATTGATTGACAGTTGAGAGGCGGGCCGAAAGAGCAGAGCTCAACCCCCGCAAGTACAATTAGGTGAATACACATTTCAACCCGAGCAAATGCAAAGTAATGAAACTAGGCAGTGGAAACAGGAGGCCAGACACAGGATACAGAATGGGAGATGAATTACTTCATGAAGCGGAGAGAGAGAAAGATCTAGGAGTTGATATCACACCAAACCTGTCTCCTGAAGCCCACATGAAAAGAATAACATCGGCGGCATATGCGAGGCTGGCTAACATCAGAACAGCATTCAGGAACCTGTGTAAGGAATCATTTAGAACCTTGTATGCAGCATATGTTAGACCAATTCTGGAGTATGCGGCCCCAGCATGGAGCCCGTACCTTGTCAAGCACAAGACGAAGCTGGAAAAAGTTCAGAGGTATGCCGCTAGGCTAGTCCCAGAACTAAGAGGCATGAGTTACGAGGAAAGGTTACGTGAAATAGACCTCACAACTTTGGAAGACACAAGAGTAAGGGGAGACATGATCACTAACTACAAAATTCTCAGAGGAATTGACAGGGTAGATAAAGATAAACTGTTTAACACGGGTGGTACGCGAACAAGGGGACACAGGTGGAAACTGAGTACCCAAATGAACCACAGGGTCGTTAGAAAGAACTTTTTCAGTGTCAGAGTAGTTAACAAGTGGAATGCATTAGGCAGTGATGTGGTGGAGGCTGACTCCATACACTGTTTCAAATGTAGATATGATAGAACCCAGTAGGCTCAGGAATCTGTATACCAGTAGATTGACAGTTGAGAGGCGGGACCAAGGAGCCAGAGTTCAACCCTCGCAAGCACAACTAAGTGAATACACGTAGAAACGATACCCCTGCTGCTTCTGACCTCCTATAGTAAATAGACAGTCTGGAGTAAGGTAACTGTTGCTGGTTGCATCCTGGGGAATGTCTTGGTCTCTCTAAACAGCCATCAACTTCAGGTATTTGTGGTCATTACAAATTTATGTTTAATGACAGACTTTCCAGGCAAGGTATGAGAAATATTTAGATTGTGCAAGTGTACGCTATTAATAGTTTTCTATAAAGAAATATTGGCTATATTAAAGAAAACGAATTTTATTGATGGGTTTCTATCCTAAAAACAATTTTTTTTCTTTTAGGAATTTTACCAGGAAAGACGAAATGTAGTTCAATTCCTTTCATTCATAATATGTACACATCAGCACCCGTAAAACCTGTGAGATAGTATAACAGTTAAGTCTGCGAATTACTACTAACTACCCGCCAGTCTCAGAGAATAAACTTTGTGTTGTGTAAATGAATGTTTCACTTCCCTTTCTGTCTGCCCGTCAGTTTACACTTACAGAATCTTCAACTGTTCTACAGTCAATTAAGTATAGACTCTGGTGTGTCTTCGTACAGTTAATAGACTATCTGTTCCGGTGTTGGTGGAACTTCAGCTTGGTCGATGTGTCTGAAAATCAGTCACATAACCGTTGACACGATAATAGACTTGCTTGCAAGCTCATCCACCAAGCTGAAGTTGCTTGATGTAACTCCATTCACACCATTGCTGGTGTGAATGGTGTAAGAAGTGGACGCAAGAGGAGAAGAACCACGTGAGGTATGAGTGTGGCTTTCCCTCAGTTTGTTCGTCTTGGATTAGCTCGTTCTGAGGAAGCGCAGACAAGAGGACCCTAGATCCTCTTCTAGGATCTGCCCGAAACGCTTTGGGTAATAGTGGCTTTAGGCATTGTATGTACTAGCTCTATCTATAAAGCCAACAAACTTTGTAAATCTCTTTATGTATGTACCTTACCTAAATAAAGATTATTATTATTATTATTATTATTATTATAGATGCCAAGTGTTAGTTAGAGATATTGAAACCTGGCAACAGTATACCGTAGACTTATCGCGCAGAAAACGAGACATCTATACTTAACAGGAACCAAAAAGTGTTCGCATTCAAGGTATGTATGTTGTGTGTGTGTGTGTGATTAACTATTTGGAATTGCCTAATTTGTGCCTGCAGGATCAAGCTTTAGTTCCTGGATCCCGCCAAACTAGTCAATGGTAATGTAGAAATATGACTCTTGAT